ATTACTGAAATGGTGGAGAAATTAGGGAGGGACTCTGCAATTCCTCTGCTCTTCTGTAAGAGTGAAAAACTCAGAGAGCAAGCGAAGATTTAAATTGAGGAAAAGTTCATTTTTCTGAAGATGAATCTCTAAGCTGCAGCTTTATTCAAATTCTGTGGCCTCTTTGCAAACAAGGCCTGTGCTTTTATGGCATTTTTAAAAAAAATGGACTTAATGGACTGAGTTTGTTTAGACAAGGATAGCAAACGAATGAGTGAATTAGAATACACGTCCATTTGACTGTCAGTCATTGTCGAAGCCACACGACCATCCAGCTTCTCTAATTAAGTGACATTGCAGTCCCTGTATAAAGGCTGAGATGGATAAATCTGTACTTGGTAAGTGCTTTGAAGATGAAAATCATGATATGAGTAATGAGAGGTGTTTTTTTTTTCCCCTGGGGCTGGAAACGGCATCTTTGTGTTTTCCTACTGCACCGTGAGTCATCTAGGTTGACATTGCAAAAAACCTCCTCTTCCCAAAGAAGAGCAAGAGAGACATGGTAACGGGAGGCTTTTATTTGACTTACAAGGCAAATCAGGAAAGAGTCTGAATCCGTTCACATCTGTACAAGGAATTATGCTCCATACGCATTTGCTACTGATAGACGCTGGTCATATTTCACATGAATTTCTACATTAAGAAATTGCATGAAAATTATCTTGTTGAAACATTCATGAAGAGCAAACCTGTCCCAAGAGCACTGAAGACAGACACTCAGCTTCGTCCCTCCTGTGAGCTTGGCTCACCTCTCTCTTGGTGCATTAAAAAATCTCCATCAACCCCCCTCCAAAACCAATAGGACGTCAAGGTTTATCTGCTTTGAGGATGTGATTATTTTTAGTAGGAGTTGTTTAGAAGAGCCGCAGATTTGGAAGTCAAGTGTGAACCGTTTGGCCACACCCAGCCCTGTCTGTCTGCGGTGAATCTTGCTCCTTCCTGGCGACACTACTGCCTCCCCTGCAAAGAAGCCAACCATTTTTTCTGTGTTCCAAACTTTGCTGGGAGCGCTTTTCCCCCACATCCGAACAGTTTCATTTATCTGTGTTTTTCTTCTCCTAGATTGCTTTGACACAGTGATAATTAGTCATGCTAGCTTGTCCAGGCGGACTAATTATTGATAGTTTTGACAGGCCCCTTCAGGAGATTGCATAACCCCAGGGTGAGTTAGGATCCAAGTAGCTGGCTGCAACGCTCCTCACTGCATCAGAGGGTGGAATGGGGCACATCATTTTCAGCCCTGGCAGCACCTTACTCTCAGCTGCACCCCTAAATTGGTCACTGCTGGGGGAAGGGCATTCGCAATATGGCTAGCAGAGTCACCTCTCACTCAGAGAGGGGAGTGGGGGAAGCTCATTGTGGGGATAAGGGTGCAAGGGGGTAGGCGGAGTGGGGAGGAGATTGGATGCATCAGGGGAAAATGCATCACTGCTGGATGGGATCCTGAAAACCTGGCTAACATGGCTAAAGGGAGAGAAAACTCTCCCCTCTGATAGATTTCGACATAGGCGAAATCCGAGAGACTTTGGAGAGTTAATGAGAAAACAATTATTCTTATCTGCTTCCTGCCAATCTGTAACCATTGACAGAGCAGAAGTAATTATAGATACTGTAGACACACAGCGGCATTAAGTAAAGTGTTTGAAATTATACTGCTTAACAACGCTTCCTGAAATGACCCTCCCTTCTCGCAGGGCCAGAGAGCTGGTTTGAGCCAGCAGGTAATACTGGAGACAGGGCAGGGTCGTGTCGTGCGCAGAAGTTTCTCACATTGGGGCATTTTGTTTTCCCAAGAAAACTTGCTCCAGCAAAAAGAAAAAAAGCTCGAGTTGATACTAATTTGTTTTCAGTTGAATATTTAGCATGTCATTCATATAGTTGTCTTAGCAGAGTAAGCTGACATATTTTGAGCGTTTTTATAGAGTTTGCCTCATAGGAGCCAAAAGCAGGGTCAGCACTGTAGATTAGAATCAATTCAGTGGAAGGAAAATAAACCTGTGGAATATATTTTGCCTTCCTTGAGCACGTAGCAGGCATTAGCAATAATGGGAGCACTGTCTGTGCATGGAGAGGAAGCATCTATCTCTCAGGCTCCCACCCATCCTTGCCCTGGGTTCTGTGGTCCCATGACCTTCACAGTGGGTGGGATGATTCTGGATTCATCATCTCCTAACTTAATGCTGCTTTGCACGGAACACACACACACACACACACACACACACACACACACACACAGAGTATTCTTTCCTTGTGGAAGAAAGAGACAGGGGAGGGAATGGGGACGGAAGTTGCTGAAACATGATCCACATTGATGAGGTGACCAAGTCTTTCTGGGCATGGATATGAACTGACTCTATTTGCCCGTCATGGTGGCTGTGCCACCTTTGCTGGGCTAAAGTTGCTCAGTTTGCTGGTCTTCTCCAACGTCAGGGAGTACTACAGAAACAAAGGGAGAGGTTCAGGGCTTTTTTTTTTTTTAAAGATTTTATTGGGGAATTGGGGGAGGGGAACAACCAAATTGTTGTCCTTTTGTTCTTCAGTCTAGTTGTGGAGGACGCTGCTTCACTGGCCCATGTTGGTATTATGATCATTGTGCTCTTCCCGGCTGAGGCAGATCAGTCGTTGGCCACTGGACGGCTGCTCACAGCGGCTCTTGGCAGCTCACACCGGCAGCCGGCCACTCACAGTAGCTCACAGCAGCCCACTGCAGCCCCATTGCAGCCTACACCGTCGCCAGCCACTCACCGCAGCCCAGCTCAAGGTCGAGCTGTTGTTCACCATCTTAGCTGTAGAGGGTGCATCGTCACTGGCCCATGTGGGATTCGAATTTGCGGCCCTACTGCTCAGAGCTTGCACTCTTACGAACTGAGCCACTTGGCCGGCCCCCAGGACCTTTTTAAAGGTTCTTTCAGTCCACTCTGTGTGGCTACCAGTGCTTCTCCAACAAGCACAGTTGCATCAGAAAAACAGTAAGCCAAACCACTAAAAGAGTGCTGGATTTGCTCTCACTTGCTGTTTCTATGCATATGTGTGCTCCCATGCATTTCATTTCTTAATTTTAAGACAAGGATGAGCAAGGCACTAGAGACAATAAAACACACCCTACCCCTCCTCTCAGCAGTATAAATCATCAAGGAGATGGCACCTTCACCATTTGCTGCTGTTTACCCTTTAATAAGGGAACTCTGGATAACACTGCTGAATTTTACTTAGCATATCTTTGTGGCCATTTATGTTTTTCTCTTATCCTTCCCAGAGGCCTCACCGGACTGGGAGGCAGGAGGTAGCCTAGTCCTAGTCCAGCTCAGCCACTATCTAGCACTGTGACTTTGGTCAAGTCACCTCTGCAAGCCTCCCTCCTCACTTCTGTAGGAGGTGAGGAGGGCAGGAGGGATCTCCAGGGTCTTTCCCTGTTCTTGAGTGTCTGAGAACTCCAGTGGTGTGATCTTCAGCAAGAATTGAGGCAACTGAAAATCATGTCCACTATCTGGAAAGTTGTTTAATAGGAAAGCCAGCTTTGCAACATGTGGTTTCAGTTCTCAATTTAGCTACTCCAAAGATGGAAATGGCAAGGATACCTTAACAGAATTTGATCCCCTAACAAGTTTGAGGGAGCTGGCCAGAGTGCTGAACTCAGACCTTCCTGGCTGCATAGCTCACAGCACCCACACCCTGCTAGTCAGCAATAGTGCCCCCAGGACAGAGGCAGACAAGTGTTCTCAGCAAGCTCCAGACTTATGACATCAGGCATATAAACAGTTAGTGGAATTCCAGAGGACACTGCATTTGATAGTTCCCAGACCTGTTGGAGCTATTTTTTACTTAGGAGAGTTTGGGAATAGCTTCGGAGGGGGTGCACTGCAGTTCACATGAATATTAATAGTGCAGGTCTTGGAGCAAAGAAACTATTTCCTTTAGTTCAGTAGCTGATGTGTATCCAAGTAGGAGAAATTTCCTTAGTACTAAAAGGCTTGGGGCGCAGGGGTGTGACGAGCCTTCTGAAATCAGGAGTCACCAGTACCAGATGGGAAAAGTACTCTACTTACAGTTTAAGCCAAATTGCCTGAGCTTCCCAAGTGCCTCCTAACTGAACACTCTCTCCCCACAATTCCTCCCCTCAACAATTTATTTCTCACAGATAATACCAATCTCTCTCTTTGTTGCTGTGCAGTGTATTAATGATTCACCAAATCTTCCAGCATATCCAAAACTGAAACACTTGCACCAGAGATGTACCCGCCCCCCATCAACCCACCAGTGCTCATCTCCCTTTCCCCACTCCAAAGAGAATGCCAAACGAGTGATGCCTATTGGGAAGTCTGCCCTTATCCTGGGGAAGCAGGAATGTCCCTGTCCTGCGCCTCTTTATATCTTCGGCATCAAGGAGGCAGTCTGCACACTTCCTTTCTTTAGCCTGAGGTCCCACTTCCCAATTAACATAGACACAACACTTCACTGAAGCTGAAGTAGAAGAAATTTTCTGCTTGATGTGTTTTATGTCCCATTATTATTTCCCCTGCACCTGACAAGCCTCTCGGAGGGGCACAGAAGAATGTGTCTGGTGCAGGGTACTGGGGGAGGGTTCCCCACCACTTCTAAAAAAGGAGACAGATGGACTCAGTAAGGGATTCATCCAAAGCCTCTCCCTCTGCCCTCCCAGGAGGTTGGGACTCCCAAGAGTTCCCTTCTGCTTCGGAAACTTCCTTTGCATCCACACAGCCCATTGCCAGCCTTGTGGGATTGGCTGTTTCCCTCTCATCTGGGCCTCTATAGTGCTGCTACGTGTCTGCTTTCTCATCATGGCTGGGGTAGGGCTGATAGGTTTCTGCTGCTCATTATTTATGAGGTGAGGCTGGAAGCAGGGCAAACACTCATTAGCTCAAAGTGCGGAGGAGTGCAATCCATGATTACCCCACTCCCCAAACACCACCACAACCACCACTCTTGTTTTTGAACTCTTGTTTTCATCAGGTGGGAGAGAACAGAATTGTACATTTGCACATACAGACGATTCACAGCAAGAAAGAAAAATGAATAAAGTCTATACAAGCTCCCAAGTGGGGGGATTTCAAAGGGAAGAAACCCAGGGCAGGGGAAGCCTATCTCCATGGTAACAGTGGGGACTGGTAGTTGCGCCACAAGAGTCTCTTCTTGGTCACATTCCCTAAAGTTAGAGGGCACCCCCAAACTCCCATGCAAGACACAGAATCTGCTCTGAAATAAAAAGGATTTCCATGGTGAGGTGGAGACACTCTCTCTCAGGCCTTTGGGTTCCCGACAGAGGCAGGTGCAGACCTTCCTAAAGTTCCCTAGATGAGCCCCAGAGGAGTCTTGAGCATCTCTAGAATAGAATTCAGAGCTCATACGCAGGGCTGGGCGCCTCCGCAGAGGGCCTGCTCTGGTTCCCTGGGCGTGGCAGGAGCAGGCACCAAAGCCACCCAAAGACCCAGGGGAGAAGTGGGCACCAGCAAAGGAAACCTACAGGCACCCTCTCAATGTTCACTCTTGACATCGCCCACAGTCATTTCTAGAAAGAGCTGCTGGTCATGGTCCAAACAAAGCCTCCCAAAGAGCAGCTGGGTGGTGAGATGAAGGGGCAAGCTGAGAGGAACAAGCCACCCGGACACGTGAACACTATTCCTTAATGAGAAGACAGATGCGGGTGGTGATCCCAACCTGGGCCAAACCCAAGCTCTTTGTTTGGCTGGGGGCCTATCAGCCTCCTTCAGAACCACCTCCTCTGACAAGCCTCAGTTCCATTAATACGCCATTGACCTCGAGTTTGAGTCTGGGGCTGATTTGCTGCTCTGTCTGGGGGAACCCCAGGGGCCTGTGGCTTGACGGGAAGAAATCCTCATTTTAGCAGCAATTGTTTTTTCCTCTCCTCCCGCCACAGTGATCAAATTACCAGGCTGCTTCTCCTCAGAGAAAATGTGTCCACGGGTCCCGGGAGGCACTGCCCATTTGCCTGTCTGATGGGTAGGGGAAGGGAAGCAGGGATGTGTGTGTGCCTGTGTGCCTCCCTCCCCCAGCTGCCATGGCCACCCAGCAGCAGTGAGCCCCTAGGGAGGGCAGCGGGCGGGTGCTGGAGTCTTAGCTGCAGGAGGCCTGGCAGGTGGCCGCGTACACACTGCTGCCCACCGTGCCCCCGCTGCTCAGGCTGCTGGTGGGACACTTGAGGGGCTTCATGCTGCTGTCCCTCTGGATGTGCAAGTGCTCGAGCCGCCAGCGTTCCCAGCTCTTCCGAAACTCCATCTGGACCTTCCGTGGGAAAAGGAGGGAAACAAAAGCCATCATGCAAAGCGACTGCCCACAAAATGGCCCCATTATTACATTAGTAGGGAAGGGAAAACATCCACTGCATTATATTAAGAGACACAAGTCAAGGCCTTCGGGCGCCTAAATTAATATCCCAATAAAATTGTTTATTGTTGTCTCCTATTTTCCGCCTCTCCTCAGGAGAGAGATGGGCTTGATGATTTAATTGGTCTCTTCCATCTCGAAACTCTGTGACTCAGCTAAGTACCTTTTAAAATCCATCACAGTATTATTTAACGGAAGAGAATGAGAGAGAGAAATGTGGGGAGACGGCAGATGGGAGAGGGAAGAAAAGGAGGGAATCTGACTTTAGAGCGCACTCTCCAGGCTGCAGCTCGGACAACTGAGAAGAGGAACAGCATGCCCCTAACCCTCACTGTGCCCACACCAGACTCTTATCCAGGCCAGAGCCTCGCGGGGAGGAAGTGAGGCTGGGAGTGGCAGCGGCAGTGAGAGGGGCTGTGGGCAAGGGCTTCTCTGCCTGGATTGGAGCTAATCCCATCCAGGAACTAATTCCAACCCATGGGGGGTTCGGCCCAGGTGAGTTCAGTTAACCAGAATGCCTGCTGTGCTAGGCTGAGGCCCCCCTCCCCACCGCCCCCTATCAGGAAAAGCCCTCTCAAGAGGGCTGATGCTTAGGGACCAGGTTGTTGGGCAGAAATACAAATCCAACTAACACTGTGGAGCCCAAAATCATTTAAGGACCTGTGGTTATGGCGCGGCTCCTTGTGATGGCCAGTGATTCTGGTCCGCCAGAGGGGGCTGTTGGAACCTACACATCCAGCCCCGGGTGTCTGGAATGCTCTTCCAGGGGACATTCCCCATAAGTTTGCTTTCCAGAGCTTCTCTGAGGTCCCCCACCCTTGACCCCAGCCCTCCCCACACGGGAATGTCCGGGGCCTGAGCCCTCCCTTTCAGGCCCCTGCCACCAGGATGGCCAGCTGCCAGCAGCTGTAGGTAAGCAGCTCACTGACAATGTCCCCATCAGTCCCTATACAAATACCCCTCTTCTCTGCCTCCTGCAAGGGCTGCCATCCAATAGCTAAGCCCATCGAGACGCCTGGCATGGCTGCATGCCATCCCTTAAAAGAAATTCTTCTTCACTGAGTGGAGCTGAGATGCCCAGAGCCTGCCTGGCAATATGGCCCCAGTATGCCAGGCAGTGTCGCAGAGCCCAGGCTTGAGGTGGGAGGGAGGTGGAGTGGGCACCACCAGTAGTACCCCGGCTACGTGCCAGCTTACTGCCTGGCTAAGGACGAGTGGTGTGTGTGCTGACAGCTGGGATGGGGATGCCCGAGGACAATGGTGGCCTCTGCTTGTGCAGCAGCAGCGTGGCCAGTCTTGTCTCACAGTCCTTAACTGGTGAAAGGGGGGAAGAGAGATGGTAAACTGAGGCACATTCATGGGAAGCTTAGGGACTGAAAAGGTCTCATGGATACCAGCAGGAAATGGGACAGGACTGGGACGTCTCAGAGTGCCGATACTGGTGTCCCCTCTGTCCCCGTCTCCCTCAGCACTTTTGCTGAACCTCTCAGCTATGGTCCCTGTAGTAACAACTGTCGTTAAAATCTATCATTTATTGGGAGCTTCCTACATGCCCAGCATTTTCCATGGGCTATTTTAGTTAACTTTCACAGCAACCCTGTGAAGTAGCTCCTGTTAGAACTCCCCACTTAAAGCTGAGGAAACCAAGGTGCAGAGTATTCACGTATTTCTCCCGGTCTCAGCCAGGGTTTGAACCTACATCTCAACTGACTCCAGAGCCGGTCTCCTAACCACTGGCCCTCTGCCTCCCGTGACTCTGAAGGTCATGCTTGTTTCTGGCCACATCTCCCTGCAACTCGGCTGGGAATACCATGAGGGCTGGCACCGCATCCTCCTCATCTCAGGTGACCTGAACAGTGCCCAGCACACAGTAGGTACTTGATAGGTGTTTTTAAAATGAGCCGAATGAATGAATAACTAAACGAGCATCTGACATTGGCTCCTTTTGTTACTGTGTTATTACAATGAATCACCAAAGACAATAACGCAAATTCCAGACACCCGTTCCAGCACTTAGTGCATTTTCTCAGAAGTTCACCCTCATTCCTGCCTCCCAGAGCCTCTCGTCAGGCGTCAAGCCAGGCTCTGGAGTTTGGGGTGAACTGTGAAAGCTCATTCACCTCCTTTGGTACTTGGGGAAACAGGCAAAACAATTGCCCAGGTCACACAGCCAGGCCGTGTCAGAACTGGACCAGCACTCAGGCTCCAGAGTCAAGGGCCACGGTGAGAGGACACGATGAGCTGCCACAAAACCACCCAGGCCTCCGCTCCCCTGGGCCCATTCGCCATCCACTGGCAGCTGGTGCAGGCCTTGGCACCCACACAGCACCAACATCCAAGCCATCCTTTCTCTTTGGGTCACAAGTACCTGGCATTACCATGGCAACCCAGAGTCTGGAGAACAGCTCTTGTGAACAGAGGCCTCAGCCCGGGAGCCTCGTGTACTTGGTGACGTGTCTGCCCCTATGCCTGGAGGAGCATGGGCATAAGGCATTTCCCGGAGGGTTGAAAGGAACTGGGCAGTGCACTTAAACAAGGCAGGTGCTCTGAGATCTCAGAGCCGGGCCTGAACCCTATAGCAAGGGCCTGGGAGAGCCCGAGGGGAGGGGCCTGGTGATTCAGGGGTCAAGTTATTTGCCAAAGGCGGAGTGAGGATATGTGCCCATCGTCCCTCCTTGTAAAGGTGGGCCCGCCTGGAGGGCGGTGTAGGCAAGAGGGTAGGTGACAGGGTGACTAGGACAAGAGACTGAGCCAGGGTCCAGGTGAGACTCTCCGCAGAAGTGGTGGGGAAGCCATTGCATAGGTGCATGCAAGTGTTGTGTGTGTTTTGAATGTGTGAGGCCAGCATGGCTTTGGGGGAAGGTGGGGAGAAGTGGGAAATAGGGGGTTAGGAGGGGGTTCAAGAAGGTGGCAGTAGGGAGCCTCATTCTTTCTTCATAGGCCTCTGCCCCATTTACCCCCATCCACCCAGGGATACCCGCCACCCCACCCATCTCCCAGAAAACACAACATCAGAACTTAGGGCCAGGCAGCACATCACCCCTCTGGCTGAGAACCATTCCTGAAGGGAATGCCACCCCGAGTATCCTCCACACCCACCTGCCCGCCTTCCTTGGCCCACCCCACTCTGAGTCTGGCCAGCCCTCTGAGACCTGCCCATGGGAACAACTTATTCATGGGCCGCCCTTTGCATGGTGCTGCCTCCGCCTCCCCAGCCCCAGCAGCCCTGAGGCATTAGTAGGGACCCCTCTCACAGCCTGCTAGCTCTACCACCTTCTAGCCGTTGAATTGGGTCTGTTCGTTTCATTTTGCTGAGCCTTAATTTTCTCATCTGTAAAATGGAGATAAGATCTGCCACATAAGCCTGGATTTAATAAAACACGTGAGCACCTCATACATAGTAAGTGCTCAGGAAATGCTGTATTTCCCTCTCTTTCAGAGATCTGAAGTCCACGTGCTCCGAGCATTATTAATTCAATTTTGTAGATGAGGAAACTAAGGTTCAGAGTGGGCACGGGGCTGGCCCAAAGTCATACAACTTATTAGGTGATGGAGCCTGGATGGGAGCAGAGATCTGATGCCAAAGCCCACATCCTTGCATCTTCCCTGCTACATCACATGGCTTCTTTGAGCAATGTCACAGGTCCCTGAACCATCAAGGTCCCCACCTATTGCTTCCCATGTCCCCTCACCCATAGCAAAAGTAAAATTTGTATTTATGCGCTGCCTTTTAAGATCTCTGAGTTCTGGGATCCCAGGCTTGGTGACACGGAAGCCACACAGAGTGCTGGGTCTTTGATGAGAGGCGTCCTGGGTCATCTGTGCTCCAGCCCCACTGACACAAACCCTTACCTGGGCCTGAATGGAGTTAACAGAGACCTCAGTTTCCCCCCAGACTGTGAGGTGGAGGGTGCCTACACATTCTTCCCTGCTGGGGTTTAATCTTGTGGAAATTTCCCCAGGTGGCCATGGTGCTGCCTGTAGGGCTGTTATTTGTTTTCCCCTCTGGAAAGAATGTGTGTGTGTGTGTGTGTGTGTGTGTGTGTGTGTGTGTGCGCGCGTGCGCGCGCGCAGGGGTGGGGGGCTGTGGAATGTGTGATATCCACTTTGAAGGCTTGGGGTAACTCCAACACAAAGCTGGGTACCTCAGAGCCAGGGGTCTTCCCCAGGCACCCACAGACACAGACAGCTTCTCTTCCCGGAAGCTGAGCACCCCAGAGAGAGGAGGCCTGTGGTCCTGCAGGGCTTATAGGAGAGGCTGTGGGGGTCAGCAAGAGCCCTCTTCTCCCAGACTAGCAACCAGGAAGCCACTGGAGGAACGCACCCCCTTTCCACAGCGGACGGTGGCCCTTGCCGGCCTGCACAAAGAACAAGGTGCCTTCCTCTTTCAGGAACAATTCATTTGCATCTTGGCTCTGCCACTACTCCCAGGCCAAACCTGGGGCATGTTTCTTACTCTTTCTGATCTTTAGAGTTTTCATGTGTGAAAAATGGGAAAACGAAAACCAGAATTTTATCAGGGATTTTTTTGGGGAGAAGCAGTGACAATGGCATGAGATAGTGATTATTAAAGACCAGGGCTGTGACTTGGGCATGTCTATTGAATCACCTCATAACAGTCACCACAATCTCCTTAGCACGAGGCTGGGTCTTCGCCAAGCTCACATATGGTTAAGGTATGCCTACGTGCGCGCGCATGTGCACGTGTGTGTGTGTGTGTGTGTGTGTGTGTACGAGTTACCTCCAACTCTAGTGCCTCAGTTGGGTGAGTAGGGGTTTTGAGCTGAAATGACTGATGGGAGTCCCCAGTGCACAACTCCAGAACAGCCCGTGGTAGCAGCCCAGCAGGGTCCCCATGTCCCTCCTCAGGCCTTACCTCATTGTTGACAAAGCAGTACAAAATGGCCACCATCAGCCCCTGGAAACAAGAGTCGTGTCAGCGGGGAGAAAGCGGGAGGGAGGCACCCTGCAGGCGGGCCCTAGTCTGAAGCTCCTTGGGGCCCAGACTCAACATCCCCCTCCTCAGATTGGGCAGCCCCAGATATGGGGGTGGTGGGCTCCTTCTTCTTTCCTTCCTAGAGGGACAAGAAGCTCCATGCTGAGATACGGCAGAAGCTCTTCAACCATCCTCCCTTTGAGGAGGCCTGACCTGAGAAAGGACACCGCCTCTGATGGTGGAGAACTCTCCCTGCCCCATCCCCATCGGCCCACGCTGGAGATAACGCTCCAGAGCAGTGATGTGCGTGTGTGCGTGTGTGTGTGTGTGTGTGTGTGCGTGCGCGTGTGCGTGTCTGTGTGCGTGTGCGTGTGTGCGTGTGCGTGTGTGTGTGCGCGTGTGTGTGTGTGTGTGTGTGAGTGTGTGTGAGTGTGCGTGTGTGTGTGTGTGTGAGTGTGTGCGTGTGTGTGTGTGTGTGTGTGTGTAAGCGCACTCACAGGCCCATATGCTGGTGGCCATCCCATAATCCTCCTGAGTGGCTGGGACCAGTTTCTTATATTTCTACACCCCATTGACACTTGCACCCCCTCCGCATCATCTAGTGGAGAGGATCAATTCTTGGCTTTGGAAACTACATGACTTTGCAAATCTTGTTTTAGCAAATCTGAGCCTCAGTTTCCTCCTCCCTACAATGGAGATAATCCTGCACACCTCCTGGGGTTCCGTGAGGATTAAATGCGCAATGTGTGTAAAGCAGCTGGCAGGGCACCCACCACCCACTCAGCAGCAGCCCAGTAGATGGCACGTCCAATGCCAGGCTGGGTGCCCACGGCTACGTCCAGGATGATTTCTTGTCCAATGTGCTTATAGAAAAGACTGGCCTGGGTGTCAGGACGTGTGAGGGTTCCAGCTCAGCCTCTGCTCCAACCACATAACTTTGGGCAAGGGCCACTTTCCCCGGGGCCTCAGGCGACCCACCTGTGTGGCACAGGCAGGTCTCTGCCCCACCCCCACCCTGGGGCTTCGAGAAGGGCCCCCAGCCGTGAGGTCACCTGGAAAGAGGTGAAGGAGAGCTCTGTGAGCAGCTTGATGAAGCGCAGTGTCCCCCGGGCGTGCTCGTCCATCACGAAGGCAAAGATGACCTCATGGGTCCCCAGCAGGGGAATGAGTGTCAGTGTGGACTTGGCAAGTCTGGGGGTGGGGTGGAAATGTCATTCGGGCCTCGCCCATGGACTCTTCTCCCATTTCTATGCCCTCAACCCCCATCACGTCCTGGCATCTGGGTCATAGACACCCTCCCATACCAAGTACCCTGGGACAGGCTGCTTATAGGGGAGGGAGTAGAGGCTGAAGGCCCCCTAGAAGTCCACGAGCTACCCAGGTACAGGGGTGAGGGAAAGGCTTGGGGTCCCTGGGTGAGAGAAGGCTATGCAGTCTTCTAAGCTCAATCCCCCAGAATCTCTGTCTCTGCTGGAAGGAAGGACGGGGGTGCCCAGCAAAGCCAGCTCAGTCACATCACCTGCACTTGATGTCCGTCTTGCACATGAGATTGGCTTTCAGTTTGGACACCACAATGCAGATGACCCGGACAAAGATGAGGAAGTTCACCTGCAGGGCAGATGGGTGGGTGGCTGGAGGCTCTCTCAAGACTCTCACTGCCCCCCAGTGCTCCCCACAGCACCACCCCCAGACCCCCACGATTCCCACTCCCACCCCGACACTGCCACTCACCCCAATGGCAAAGAGAATGGGCAGCCGAATAATGAGCCAGTAATTCATGTTTGAGTTCCTGGTCCAGCAGCTGGAGAGGGGAGAGAGACACACACAGGCACCCAGCTGGACACAGACTCCAGCTCACAGCATAGGGGTATAGGGGTACACAAGTACACATGGGCATATAGAGTGACACACACAGAGCCACATAAACACTGCCACAATCAGTCTCACACACACACACACACACACACACACACACACACACACACACACAGTCCTAAATACAGTCACACACAGAGAGATACACACAGCCCCTTCACGAACCTACAAAACACAGTCATTTGTGTATCAAGCATCATACACAAAATAACAAATATTTTATTCACAGTTATCATAGAAGAACCTGCAGTGGGGTACCATGCACCCCACAGGCCTAGCACCATTTGTCGTCATACAATGCGGGGAGGGTGGAGAGCGGGAATTAGACAACTAAAGTCATAAATTAAGCTCCGATCCCTCAGTTTATCTTCCCAACAGGTCATAGGCACATGCTCCAGGGGCCAAGGAACCCCATGGGGTTTGAGGATGGGGACCTCAGCACACTCACCCCTTGGAACAGGACACTCACCCTTCATCCTCATAGAGGTACTTGACAATGCCCCAGGGGATAACAAACAGCAGGGGAACACCTAAGAGGAAAGAGGGAAAGAGAGAGAGAGAGAGAGAGAGAGAGAGGGGCTGGCAGGCCAGAGCCATCGCCATGCACACCCAGAAGACTCTCCACCCGCCTCCCCGGCCTCTCCCACCTCCAGCCCTTTTCCTTGCCTGGCCCCAAACCACACTTTCTAGCAGGTACGGAACCAGGCTGGTCTGGGTGCATGAAGAACGGAGGCCTGGTCTGTGTGACCAATAATGCACAGCAGAAGTGTGGCATGTCACTTCTGAGATTAGGTTATAAAAGACTGTTTTAAGAGGTTAGAAAAGGCTTGTCTTGGGCTCTTTCTCTCAATCTGATCACTTTCTCTGAGGGACACTAGTTGTCATGTGGTGAGGTCACTCAGGTAGCCTATAGAGGGGCACCTGTGGCAAGGAACAGAGGCCTCCAGCTAAGCCAGCATGGTCCCAAGCTTCCTGCCAACAACCTTATGTGTGAGTGAGCGTGGAACCGGATTTGCCCACCCGAGTGAAACCTTAAGATGACAGCAACCCTGGCTGACAGCTTGACGACATCTCTGTTACAGACCCTGAGCCAGAGGCCCGTAGCTAGGTTGAACCTAGATGCCTGACCAGAGAAACTCCAAGATAACAATTATTGTTTTAAGCAGCTAAATTGTGGGGTTATTAGTAATGCAGCGATAAGTAACTAACATAACTGGTTACCAGCTCCTTGAGGGGAGAGCCTCACTCATCTTCACAGCCTCAGCGCTCAGCTCACCCTGAGAGCTCAGTACGTGCTTGCTGACTTAAAATCGGATTGTTCATCCTCACGGGACAGATGGCGATGGAGCAGCAGCTCAGGAGGGTACAGGTGGGGCTAGAACACAGGGCTGCAATCCCATGCCCATGCCAGCCCCCCTCAATGGCTTTCTGCACCGACTCTCTCCATGCCCGTCTCTGTTGGTGCCCCCTCAGGGTTGGAGGTGGGGGTGTCTGGGATAGGTAAAAGTGTGTGTATTAAGGTGTGTGGACACAGGTGTGCGTGTGTGGTGGTGGTGGTGGGGTCTCCCCCAGGAGCACGTTTCCAGGGCAGAACCCACTTCATCGCCTTTCCTGCCATCAATCATCCAGACTCCAGAGCCTCAACACATGATGTCACTCAGCAGCAGCTACTGGGCAGCTCGTACGCCTGCAGCTACTGTACTTGACAGTGCAGACAGGGATGGATGAAGCAGCAAAGCTCACAGCTGACTAGACTTCGTCATCAGATAGCTCTCTCCTTGGTCATTTATTTTTCTGCAGACCAGACCTCTCGGCCTCCATGATGCTTGAGTAACAGAGCTTCTTGAGACTGGACAAGGAACAGGTACCCTCCAAAGGCTCCAGCACAGAGTGCGGAGCCCGCCACATAGAAGATGCTCAACGAGGATGGAATGAATGGATGAACGAAGGAATGAACGATGAAGGAGTCGATATTTCAATGAGAGAAGGGAAGCTCTCCAGGCAAGAACAGGCCACCTCCTTGAGCCACACACGTGGTTAGAAACCTCCTTCTCGGGCATCCCAGGCACATGCTATCCTTTCTCTCAGAGACTCCACTCCAGGATTGAGGAGCTCACTCATTACCAGCCAGACCTGGTGAACTTCATTCATTCATCAGCATTTCCTTAACAAAGTCTCTAAAAACACAGGCACAGCTCTGCCACATGCAAACATTACACACGCCCTGCTGACTTCATCTTTCTCTCATTTAGCAAATCAACTAGACAGGCTGGAGAAAAAAGACCAAATAAAGACACACAGAACCAGCTCCAAGAATGAATGAGGCCCTCATCCATCGCTCGCCTCTGTCCTGTGCAGCCTCCCTGTGGTGGGTTATGGGGGCACCTGGCCACCCAATGACTGTGGCAGCAGCTGACATGCCTTTTGGGGACTCCCTCAGCTGTGTTGGAGTCCTAATTTTAATTCTTCTGCTCGCATGTGAAGCGAAACATTGTTTCCCAAGCATGCCGACTTGGGCTAGGCCTCCTGGCATCCCGGCAGAGCGCTTGGCTCTCTGTGCCTCTCTCGCTGTCCTGTCTCTGTCCCTCTGTCTCTCTCTGTATCTCCCCATCCCAGTACCTCAAGGAAAGGATGCTCTGATTAGGGAGAGGGGTCCTCCAGGTCCTGCCTTTGTGTCCCCCTCAGACTCTAAGCCCTGAGCTGAGGAGTGAGGTGGCGGGAAAGGATGGCACCCCTCCCCCATTTCCCACTCACAGACCTCAGGGCATCATGTGTCCCCACCAACCATCCACCAACCACCCCCGCTCCTCTGCACACATCACAACGTCCCTTTGATTGTTTCTGCCTTCAGGTCACCATGGTGACAGGCACTACCGGTGCTGATGTTATTTCCCAGAAGGGACAGACATGGTCCCCCACCCTGAGGACAGCCTTCCCAGAGCTCTCCTCGATGGCCTAACCCCGCTCCCCGCCTAGTTAGCTGCAGGGCTCTCCAGCTGCCCACTGCCCGTGTGACTGCTCTAGTGGGATGAAGAGGCCTTGGAAGGGCAGGAAGGCTGAGCAGGGAGGGGCTGGGCCCTGGGGGAGGAGGGAGGAAGGAGACAGGCGGGGAGCAGAGAGCCGAGCGCAGAAGCCAGGCCCACCTGCCCACTGGTGCAGAGGCCTGAGCTTGCTCAGCTGGGCCCTCAGGGGACTAAAGAGACACAGCCTAGGCTGGAGAGCTTTGTGTGCCAGGAGCGGGGCGCAGAGCCTGGGAGCCTGGGGGTCTGGTTCCAGCTCCTGCTCTGCCTGTAAGGCCCTGCCCTGGGCCTCGGTGACTTCAAGACACTGACCACATTGAAGCCCCTTTGGAGGTATTCTTCTACAATGGGCTATACAGAAACACCAGCAAAAAGCGATGGAGTGTGAGGACAGGGGCAGGGAGGCTGAGAGAGTACAAAGCCAGGGGCCCAGTCACCCGAGGGGGGTGGGACAGCCTTGCACAGGCCCAGGAGCAGAAGCCAGGGTGGGATGGGGGACTTCCAGGGAGAAGCTGGCTGTGAATGAGGTGGGAAGTCCCTGGAGCCAGGCGCAGCAGTGGTCAGAGCAGCCAGAGGCAGGCAAATGAAGGAATGAGAGGAGTGAATGGGTGAATGGCCAGCTAGGGATGGAGGGCTGGTCCTGTGATGTGTGGGGGGCAGGGACACCAGCAGGTTCTGGAGGGCCAGAGGGCAGGGCCCTTTGGCTCCATCCCAGGGGGGCGCCAGTGGGCCCCGCCAGAGTAAGCACTGTTGCACCTGTTTTCCCAGTAGTGGGGGTTGGGGGCTGCGGCTGGTGGGTGTCCCTGGCCCCGCCCCACCCCGCCCCTTTCTCATCGGAATCCCACATGGCGAGAGGCAGAAGCACAACCAGAAATGTTCCAGCAAAAAAAAAGACACAATGGTTCTCGGCAAACTTTTTTGGCTAGAACATTTCCAGCTGGGCTCCAGGCACATCCACGGTCCACCCTTTCCTCACCTGGCTTCCAGGAGACCTGCCCTGCCCTACTCGGCTCTCCTGTGAGCCCTCTTCTTCACCATCTTGTGACAGAGCCATAGCCCTCAGACCCCACCCCAGTGACTCCCCACCCTGAGGCCCAGGATCTGTATTTCCCTCAGGGCCTGGGCTGCCCAGGACTGACTGGGGGTGGGGCTCCATCCCTAGGGGGTCTTAGAAGCAGGGGTATTCAAAGACAGTGCCACGACTGCAACCGTATGTGAGGTGTATTTGGCCAGACAGAGTGGAGCCTCTGTTTCCATTAAGAGAGGAGGGTTATGCAAACAGGGGAGGGTAACCGTAACCTCTGCAGTATCTTGACAGCCCCATGGGCAGTAAGTCCTGTGCCCAGGAGAGTTACCCAGTGGGCCCTGCCCCTGGGCCCAGCTGTGTGTTCTGAGTACCCAGTTGGCTTCATGGGGGTCGCCTGAAGGCAGCAGTTTGAAGAGGGGCCAGGGTCTCCCCCGCCATACCACAGGTCGGGGTGGTGGGGAGAGATGAGTGACAGAGGGCCTTACCCCAGCCTATGCTCAGGTACAGCCGGAAGATGCGCTGCTCGGAGAAGACTGAGAAGGCCAGCAGCGTGTACAGGTACACGCCTTCCACCAGGAGCCAGTAGTAATTGGCTGCCACGCAGTACTGCATGAGCAGGAACACCAGGCGGCAGCCTAGAGAGTCCTGGGGGCAGAGGAAGGGTCCTCAGGGGACAACAGCTCTGCCCCCTGCCTGTCTTCCCGCCTCCGGGTCCTGCCCCAGCTGCTTGCCTGCTGTGCTGACTGCAGGACAAGTGAGCTAACACCCCCCTGGCCTGGGCTAGTGCTGAGAACTTGATTTCCTGAACTACTTTAGCTCATTGAATCCTCACTATCCTGGGTGGAAGAAATAACAATATCCTCAGGTAAGGAAACTGAGGCTCGGCGGCCTAAAACCATACAGTTAGTAAGTGGCAGAGCTGGGATTCAAACCCAGGTCTGTCTTCAAAGACCACTCCCCTGTGTCTGAGAACTCCCTGAGGACAGGGGCTGTGTCTCCCTCCTGAGGCTCCCCAGGGTGGACTGCCTCTCCCATCAGACCGGGGGCTCCCTGAAGACCAGGCCTGGGTGGGTGGGGGAGGCCAGCCTTCACTGACCTCCATCCCTCCTCAGGCCCTTCCTGGACACACCACACACCTGGTAGGAGAGGAGCCCGTCCCACTGGTGCTGCTGGGCAGCCGTGCTGTACATCCACTTGAGGGCTGCGTCCTTGACGAAGACGGACAGTGCTCGGAGGATGAAGGATGCAAACAGGTTCAGGTGGATATAGTTCCGGGTGCAGTGCAGGTGTCTGTGGGAGAAAGCAGGGTCCTTCCCTGGCAAGATGGCCAACAGTTCTGCTCCACAGTCCCTAATTCTCAGGCTAACATGCACTGCAGGCATGTTTCTGGCTCTGGGACTGTGCTCCTGTCTTCCTTCCTCTGAGAATGCCCTTTCCCCCCATAACCTTGAAAATCCTTTTGTTTAATTCTAAAGTCCTTCCTCTCCATGAAGCTTTAAGCTGTGTGGTCACTGCCGCCCCTCCCCCCACCCCCATCCATATTCTATCCTTCTGTCTGAGGCATCTTCTTTTCTACAAAGCCATGTGTATGTAACCCAGTGATTTATGTGTGAGGACCGCTTTCCCCAACGGGGACTTTGCTTTGCTTTGCTTCTGGATGACAAGGCCCACATCTTACAGGCCTCTGGGCTGCCTTACAGAGGCAGACTGGGACTAAGCACATGGTAAGAATTCAAAAAGTATTGGATACAATTGCAATATCCTTTCATGTAAAAACGCATAGCAAACTGAAAATATGAAGGCATTTCTTAACCCGAAAAGGGCTATCTACCCAAATTGGGAGCAAACATCATTCTTAACTGACAAATTTTAGAAGCATTCCCTTTAAAATCAGGAAAAAAAAAAAGGATCATCTAGGCTTAAGAAGCTATCATCATGTCTATTTAAGATTTTACTACAGATCTTTGCCACTATAATAAGGCAAGAGAAAAATGTATTAGAATTGGAAATAAAGAAACCAAATTGTTATTATTTATAGATGATAGATTATCTTCATAGAAAATCCAAGACAATTGACACACAAGTTATTGGAATTAATAAGAAAGTTGGTGATGTATGTTTATATACATCACCAATAAACAATTAAAAAGTAAATTAAAAAAAATTCATTGACAATATTTTTAACTGGCTGCCTAGAATAATTCTAACATAAGATGGGCAAGGTCTCTATGGAGAACACAATAAAACTTGCTTAAAATCACTAAGGAAGACTTACATTAATGGAAGATAACACCACATTCATAGGTGGAAAGACTCACTATCTTGAAGGTGTCAATTCTCCCCACATTAACTGATAAACGCAATATAGCTATAACAAAAATTCCAACATGTTGGTTTCTTTAAATGAAATTTTAAAACTTATAAAGAAGTGCCGAGGGCCAAGAATAGTTCAGACATCCCTAAAGAACCACAAAGAAGGGGCCCTTGCTCTACGAGAACCAAAATTTTTACTGAATAAATAAATAAATAAATAAATAAATAAATAAATAAATATATATATATATGTATATATATATATATATATAGTAGCTATGGCATCACGGTATTGGTAAAGGGTCAGATAGAGACCCAACAGACAAAAATGCAAATGACAGAAACCAATTCAGGTAGCGATGACCCTTGCTGCCTGGCAGAATAGGTACTGCAACTGGAGGGGGAAGGATGGGCTGGCAGGAAATGGTCCTGAGACAATTAACTATATGTACACATGGGAAATGAAATGAAATCCTAATTTTCACCATAGACAAAAGTAAATTCCAGGTGCATGAAAGAACCATAAGGGATGAGCAAAACTTATGGCCCTAGACTAAGGAAAGATTTCACAAATAAGACCGTAACAAAATTTGGTCTTTGGAAAAATTGATACATTTTTTGATCAATTGACAAAATTGATTTTTATCAATTGATAACACTTATTGATAAATTTTGTTTATTGATAAAACCAGATAAATTGACATATTTCATTCCATTAAAATTAAGAACTTCTGTGTATAAAAGACACCATAAAGTGAGTGAAAAAAACAAACCACAGACTAAGGAAGGCTATTTCCTGGATTAGTGTCCAGAATACATAATGAATGCCTAAGATAAAAATGAAAACATCAAAGAAGCCAATAAAACAGTAAGCAAAGGATATGAGCAAGCAATTTTCAGAGTAAAACAAACAAAAAAAAAGCTTTATCTCTAGGAATTGGGGATATGCAAATTAAAATCATAATGAGCTATTTCACACACTTCAGATTAGCGGCAACACATAGGTCTGAAAATACTAAATACTGGTGAGGATGTGAAGTGAAGGGAACTCTCACGTTTATTACTGGTGAGGGGGCCAACTGGTATGATCACTTTGGAGAATAACTTAACAACACCTAATAAACTTGCAAAAGCACGTGGCATTCAGACTAGGCAATTCTACTTGAATGTGCCCCCGGAGAAATGCATGAGGGGTCATAGGTAAGAAGGTTCATTGTAGCAAGGTGTATAATTCAGAAAACAAAAACAAAAACAAAAAACCCTCCAAATGTCCACTCAAAGGATAACAGATAAACTGTGACATCTCATACAACGGAGTACAGAGTGACAGTTAACATGAATGAAGCAGAACTACCTGTATCAACGTGACCGAGTCTCACAAAAACACTGTTGGGCCAAAAATAATATGTCCAACAGGAGAACAGATGTCCAACATGCCTTTAAAAGTAAGCAAAACCCACGCTATATACTATTACAGATACTTACAAATGCAGTACGAGTGTAGAGAGATGCGTGGGAATTATAAGCAGCCCTGTTAGGGGTTCCCTCTGGGGGCAGGGGCAGGGAGTGAGCGTTACCCTGGGAAGCGTAACTGCGTGGTTCTTAGGCTGGACGGGCCATCTCAGTATCGGGCACTGTATATTCGGATCACACAAATACTTCATAATAAAAGGGGAGAATATTCATTGGGTGTTCATTTATTGTGCACTGACTGTGTGCCCAGAACTGACTGTGCCAGGTGCCAATGGGTGACAGGGACCTGCAGCTGCTGATGGGTGTCTTGAGCCCCCTGCCCTCAGAATCCCTCCTGCCCTTGAAGCCAGCCCCCCCTGGCCCGCCCCCCTGGTTCTCCCCCTGGTGGGAAGAACCTGGTACTCGGAAAGGAATGGCCCCTCTAGGAAGACCTTTGCCATGGGGGCTGACAAGCTCCAAAGAGAGCAGCATCTCTAAACCCCCGAGGTCTCGTCTAGAAGCACACGGAATTCCTGATTAGTTCAGTGACACATGCTCACTGCAGAGGATTTCCCCTAACTCTGTCATCCACTGTGAAGGTTTGGAGTGTGTACTTTGTGGGTGTGCTTGTGGTGTTTGTTTTTCCTTTTCTGCAGTATTATACGCACATGTTTACACACTAGAGGTGAGACTAAGTACACAGCGTCGTATCCTGTGTTTCCAGCCTCATATTTGATGGTGTGGGCTCGTGGGAGATCTCTAAAGAGAAGAACCTGCCGCACTGTTCTTCGGTTTGGTGTCCCCTCCTCTATGTGGGGACAGAGCGGGAGTGAGGGCGAGGTAGTGCCCTCCGGGCCCTGGGCCCCTTACCTGAAGCTGAGGAGGATGGCCGAGGCGATGACCAGAGCAGAGAAGGACAGTGCGTAGCCCACTGTGTAGATGATGTAAAGGGACAGGAGCTGGTCCTCTGGGGAGCTCTGTGCAACAGGGACACAGTGTACACGGACACCCCACGCCCTCCTCTCCCACACCTTCTTTCCCATGGGATGAGGCAGATGTGGGGCCCCAAGTCAGGCCCCACCAGGGATCCCAGAACTAAGAAAGAGAATAACCCATGGAGATGGTCCCCAGGTTTCCACAGTCCTGTTCCAAGACCAAAGAGGTGACCACACAGCACCTCTGCCCAGAAAGCATGGTGTGCAAAGCCCCCAGCGGCACAAAGATGGACCACAGACCAGCCCACCCAACAGCCAGGGTCCCCGCTCTGATGAAGCTGGGACCCTGTGCCCGTGGCTGGCTCAGTGCCCCCATTTTTAACTCACTCTCTCCCCTTGCTTGGACTCCTTGCACTCTGACAGGTCCCTCCAGGGCAGGCTGGAGTTGTCCTTGTGTAACCACAGGCCATCGGCTGTGCAGAACCGGTACACGTGACCCTGCAGCACTGGGGCGGAGAGACGCCACACGCCTCTTATTCCTTCTACCTGGGGGTCACCATGCTCCCCCAGGACTGACATCTTGGGGTTAGTAACACCTCACACACACACACACACACACACACACACACAAATCATTCACCGCCCTCCCCCCCACACACACTTACTGGGGCCTTCTTGCCCTGCCCTATGCCCACTTGGGCCGGGGACAGGAAAGGCCGGCACTCAGGTGAGGGCCACCCCACCTCACCCTCAGCCTCTCCTCTCGGCCACCCCGCCATGCACTCTGATGAAGCTGTATCTTTGAGATGACACGACTCTAGCCCATTTCCACAACCCTGCCGCCAGCCTCGAATCACACTACTGACAAGGCGGGCATGGACCAGCAGAGGCCCTGACAGCCCCACAGCCACCTGCTGTGACTTCTGATTCTCAGGACTCAGTGCCCCATCCCTGCAACACTCCTCAGCGACAGCAGATCCTGGGAATAAAATGGGCAAGGGGCTCCTGAGAGGAAGGGAGAGACACAGCACTGTCTCACGGGCTCCAGTCTGAGGGGAGACCCAGCCCTGCCTCAGGGAGCCCCAGTCTGAGGGGAGACAACCCTGCCTCAGGGAGCCCCAGTTGAGGGGAGACACAGCCCTGACCTCAGGGAGCCCCAATCTGAGGGGAGACACAGCACTGCCCTCAGGGAGTCCCAGTCTGTGGGGAGACAACCCTGCCTCAGGGAGCGCCAGTCTGAGGGGAGACAACCCTGCCTCAGGGAGCCCCAGTTGAGGGGAGACACAGCCCTGACCTCAGGGAGCCCCAGTCTGAGGGGAGACACAGCCCTGCCTCAGGGAGCCCCAGTCTGAGGGGAGACAACCCTGCCTCAGGTAGCCCCAGTCTGAAGGGGACACACACCCCTGCCTCAGGGAGCCCCAGTTTGAGGGAGGCACAGTCCGGACCTCAGGGAGCCCCAGTCTGAGGGGAGACAC